TCTTCTAGGGACAATTTTCTATTATTTGAGTTTTGGGTATTTTACATGAAAGCTTAATGAAAAGACAGCCCTGAAATTCCCTCTGCATGCTTTTCATTACTTTGAAGCAGTCACTTGAAGACTTCTGTTAAAAAAAGAAGTATTTTTCAATTTGTAACAGAGAGGATATGAGGAAACTCATGCAACAAGGATGTCTTGCCTTCCACACAGTCTCGAATCCCAGCTTAAAAACGGAATTTGGAAAAAAAGCACATCTCTAAGGAATGATGCAATGTGGAATTCCCCTCTTCTGAGTAAATCCACAGCTAAATGCTAACAAGCAAACAGCAGGATTTACTGAAATGTCCATGCAAAGATCTAAATGCAAGAAAATCACATTTTTCTGTTAGCAGTTACATGTGTAACAAAAACTAAGTCACTAAACAGGGTTACATAGTGGTTTTGTAAGCAGATCAAGGATGCTACAAACAAAAGCTTCCCACAGTAACATTCCTGATAGTTACCCATTATTTCCAAAGCATCTTCAATCTGACTTCATGAAAATGGTTGCTGATACCAGCGTTAAAATACACCTAGATCTTAAATCTACATCCCATGGACCTCCTTCAGAGCTGTACTGACACAAAGGCAACCAAAAGCAAGTAATCATTCTCACAGTCAAGAGGAACTGATTTTTTAAGAACATCATATGTCAACAATGTTCTTTTAAAAAGCAAGCTTGGGAAAATACCTATATCCCAGTGGTTTGCATTTCAAGCATTATAATTTTTATTTGAGAACACATCAACAACTCACAACCAAAAAGCCTTCATAACAAGCAGACTGAATCCAACTCTCAAAATGAGTAACTAATGGCTTCTTATAAAACAAAGCAAATACTAGAAAATTCACAACAGAAAATGCAGAAGAAACTGGTTGTGCTGTTAAGCTCCCTCAAGGAAAAAAAAAATAAACAGAAGAGAAGCAAAAAGTTTTAATACTAAGTCACAACTGGCTACTTTAAGACCTTACTTACTTTCCTCCTATCCTCTGCAGTGAGGACAGCTATTAACAGCCCTCCTGCAATGTCACCAACACCCCATTTTAAATCACTTTACCAACCCAGACCTCCATGCACCAATGGGCTCAGGTGAGCACTGCAATGTATCAGAAAGGCAGCAGCTGACATTTTGAGGGTGCAAGGTAATGACAGAACAGTTTTCTGCCCTATCTACTGAAGGCTCTAAACACAATATCTAAAACCTCTGTCAGCCATATTCTCAAGTCAATTCTAGCCTCAAGCATAAGAGCCAATACAACATAACTGTTCTAAAAAGGAAACTCATAATGAATTACTGCCTTGCCTTCATAATAAGAGTGTGAGAATTTTCAGATGTTCCTACATTAGTAAGAGAACAAAAAAATAGATTTTATACATGGAAAGAAGTCACTGTGCTTTTTCTAACACAGAATCTGAAGTAGCTGAAACTTCCCAGATACAAAAATTCAAGTCTCACTGCATGCAAGTCTGTGCTAATAGTGACCAACTTGGCCTCTGCTCTGCAGTATCAGAGCAATGCTCAGTTATGTTAAAAATAATGGTAATGCTGTGTATTTACAGATCACAGATAACAGGTGTGATATGAGACAAACCTACAGGAACAGCACACAATGCTGCCAGCTTTGCAAAAGACAAGGACTGCAATGAAAGACAGAAATTACCAAGCTGTGTTCCAAAACATACCCTGAAGTAAAGCTTTAAACTGAGAATTCTGATTTTAAACAGGGGTGATATGGACAACAAAACTGGGTGCAGCTACACAGAGGTTGAAGAGAAGACACATTCATGTAAGAAAAACTTCAGGTACCTGCACAAGAGAATCCACATGCAGATTACTATTAATGCTCACACCCAGCAAACTGTCTACACAAAAGCCTTCTCATTTACAACTTTCCAAATTAACACAAAATCCAGCAAAGTTTCTTACATCTTCACACTGGTCTCTGCAACTGCTGGATAAGCAAGGCTCTTGTGATTCCAAGAGAAAGAATCAAAGTAAGTACTATAGTTTCAAGGGTTTTGCAGGGTTTGGATTGCCCTTAAAAAGAAATAAAATCCTGCTTTAAGTTAAAAACAGTAAAGGACACCTTTGATTCATTTGCTTCAGAAATGAGGCTATCTTGATCTGGATGTTTTCAAAATATACCTATTTTAGATCTTTCAGAATAGATAAAACAGCATTTCTTTTTTTTTAAAAAGTAAATACATACACACATATATGTATTTATATACACATATACAGATATATCTCTACACTCAGAGTACTGCATAACATAAAAGTACTTTCCATTCAAATATCTGAAATAATTTCTGAACTTGTCTAAACCAGAGCAGGAAGGGCAGAAATACTTTCCATGGAATTTAATATATTTTCAATACACACCTGGCAGAAACAGAACTTCAAAGCCATTTTAAAATAAATTGTTCAAACTAATAAATAAATTAATTCCTACCCAGGGCTGCATTCATACTGGAAGGTCCTAAACTAATTTTAATTTCAAATATAAGATGTCTTGGAACAAAGGTATTGCAGGTACCTTTATTTTCTCAGAAGTCTATTTAATTCTGCAAAATAGACATTAATCACTATTTTAGTTTATTTTGAGACTCTCATCTATGAATTTGAGCATATTAATAAAAGATATAAACCTAAAAGTGTCCCTTTAGAACACAGAGTAGTTGCACTGGTCTGAGTACAAAGGCACCACAATGTGGGGAATAAAATGTTTATGTAAGGGTGACAGTGTTCCACAGAGAGGGAAAACAGTTTTGCTACCACTGTCTTTATTGATTACCACCTCCAGATGTAGTCTTCCTGTCAATTCCATGGGCAGAGAAATTGCCACAAAGCCAAATTCTGCGAGACATGAAGCAGCAGCCAGGCAAGATTAAGACAGAAGCTTCCAAAAGAAACACCCCGAAGACAAACTACACAAAAGGAAAGTGCAAGACCCTCTGGAGAGGGAAAAGTTACCATGATACAATCTTACATTTATTTCTGGTTAACTCCCTCCCCATAAACATGCTGATAATTTGAGTTTCTTCCACTGCAGCTGTATGATTATGTTTTTGGGTTTTGTACACAGCTATCATTAAGCATCACTGTTGTCTGGTGTACTGCAACAGAATAATCAATACATGTATTCTATATGCCTCCCTAAAATTCTTGGTATGGGCTACTGTAGTTTGCTGGTTCAAAGAATAAACATTACTTCAACTCCAAGAATTAAAAGCATTGTTTTAGAAAACAAAACAGAAAAAAAGCCCAAACAAACCAACTCCCTCATGTATGACTTGGGTTTTGCTGAAATAAATATGCAACTTGATCAGCAACACTTTTGGTGGGGAGCCCTGACAATTTCTCAAGTAAAGTATGAAAAAAAATTCCCAAGTACAATATGAATAATAAAGTTAGCTGTGGTGACAGCTTTCAGTCACCCCTAACTCTTTCTTACCAGGGACACTGTTTGTATTCCATAATCAATAAAGGTCAATCCCCCAAACACCCATTAATAGCCCCCTCCTAAATGTAACAATTTTGCCACCCATTTGTCAGGCCTCTGAGAAGCTGCCGAAAAACCCGGGTTACGTGATCTGTCACAGCAAGTGTTGCCACAAGTCTACCGAAGAATGCATAACAGTATCTCAATTCAACAACTTTTTAAAAAAATACAGGCCCCAGCTCTGCAAGTAGGTCAGCAAAAGCAGGCCTTGTGCTGGCTCCGAGCCTGCGACTCCAGAGGGTCTTTGGGCTGGTACAAACGTCCAGAGATATGAACACAGCTGCAAAACTGCGAGTAGAAACCGAGCTGTACAGATAACATGAAAACAGCTGAGACAGACACAATATGTCTGCAGCGAGCCTGGGAGTCCTTTGAACATTTAATTAGAACAATTCTTTCCTGAAAGGTTCTTTTTTTCCTGTACAGCTGCGAGCTACTGCAAATCTTCAAAATACCTAACTGGACTTCTGAAGGAGCAAGCTGAAAATTAAATATGGCATCTTAAAAACTACCCCAACATTTCTGGATATCTCAACAAGGAAAAAAAAATCACTCGAGAACAAAATAAGTAATTTTCAAAAGCTATTCCCACTGTATACAAACAAAGCTGCACAAAGTGGGACAGCACACGTTAACACAGTGGTAGCTAACACACAAAAACCCCAACAACCCATCCAAGTGGTGAAATCCCGTTTTATCGAGGACAATAACAGCGAGTATCTGCGGCCAAACTACACGCAACTACCTCTGCCGTACACGTCGGGCAAGGGAAGAGGGCTGTCCTGCCTAAAATAAATCGCTACAGACAAGCCCCGAGACACAACTCCGAGGAGAAGCGGCGCGGCGAACTGCAGGAATGAGATGAAAAAAAGCCACGAACGTTTTTCCTACATGGAAGCCGGGGCGCTGGAAGCCGAGGCCAGAGGAGTGGCCTACGCGTTAACAGTGTTTACAGCGGGCGTGAACGAGCTGCTGCTGCTGGATTTCATTGAGACCGTCGGGAAAGCGCCTCGGCAGGGCCTGATTTCCAGGCGTCGCCCGGGCCTACGCGGCCCCAATCACTCCACCTCAGTAATGGCGTTCGGGGCGAAGGGAAGCGAGAAGCAAGGGAGGCGATGCCGGTGCCGCGCTGCGGGGACGCACCGGGCCCTCCTCAGCGGGGGGGTCCGGCCAGAGGGGCCCCGCAGAGGCGGCCAGAGCCCCCCGAGGCCGCCGGGCGCTCCCCCCCGCCGGCAGCCGGGGATGAGGAGCCGTCAGCCATTTTCCCTCGCCCTCCAAAACACGGCGGTGCGGGGCCGACACGCCGGGGCTCCGAGGGAGGCGCTGCCGCCGCCCCGCACCCCGCGGCTCCCGGGGAGCTCCGTCCTCGCCCCCAGCCGCGCCCCGGCCCGCGGAGCCCCATCCCCGGGGAGCACAAACAGCTGCCCGGCCCCGCCCGGGCACCGCTCCGCACTCACCCCCGCACCGCTTCCCCTCGTCCCGCGGCGGCTGCTGCGGCGGCCCGGAGCCCTGCTGGGCGCTGCCTCATGCCCGGCGGCCGGCGGGGCACGGTCTCATGCCAGGCCGCGGCTCTGAGGGGGCGGCTCCGCTTCCCCCGGTTCCCACTCGGCTGCGCTGCGGCGGGAAGCGGGAGGGCAAATCCGGCGCCGCTGCCCGCGCTCCGGGTGCCGGCCCTGAGCGCTCCTCTCTCTCTGGGGCGTTTTTCCTGCGTCACCAGCTGCTGCCCGGCGGCGGCGGCGGCGGCGGCCCTGCCTGGGCTCGGGCTGGGGCTGGGCCGGGGCCTGCGCGCTCCGCTCCGCCCCGTCCGGGCACCGCCTTCCGCACCCGGCCCAGCGCGGCGGCGGTTCGGCCACCCGAGCGCGGCGGTGACGCGCTGCCCGTGTGCCCGCCCGGGGGCCGCCGCTGCCGGCCGGCCCCCCTCCGTGTGTCCGTGTGCGGGGCGGGGGGCGGCGGTGAGGGAAGGACGAGCACTGTGCGGGGACACACACACACAACACACGCACGCACGCACGGCCGGCGGCGCGCGGGCGCGCGCGGGGCCTGCTCCGCGTCGGTTGGGCGGGCGCGCGCGCGCTCTCCCCATTGTGGCCCCGCGCCGCGCCGCCGGGCGCGCGCCGGGGCCCGGATGGTGACGTCAGGGCGGTGACGGCGGTGACGTCAGCGCGGGCGGCTGAGGGGAGCGGCGGCGGCGCCCGCCCTCAGGGCCCGCGGGGCTCGCACCCCGCTCGGCGACACCGCCGCCTTTGCAAACCCGAACAGCTTCCGTCCCTCCTGCAGCCCCCCCGGGGCAGCGGTCACGGCCCCGAGCCTGGCAGAGCCCAGCGTGCCGCGGGACCAGGCGCTCGGGGCACACGGGTGGTTCTGAGGGTGTCCTGCGCTCCGTGCGTCCCTTCCAGCTCTGACTATTCCGTGATGCCGTGGTTGTTTTTCCTTTCTTTGGTTCCTTTCTTTCTGCATTTACGTGGCCACAGTAGAAGCCCGGTCTCTGTACGTGCTTTGTGTAGCGGCCTGGATTTAAATCCTGGAAAAACGGGAAAGGATGCCTTGTGGCAGCACAGCAGTTTGGCAGACACGGGGAACTCGGACTTCAGGAATACCTGAAGTGGTGCTTAAAGTTTTGTTAGTCTCAATTCCGAGATCGAAGTCTCGTTTTAACAACATCATTCAAGAATTGCGGAGCAGGAAATGAAAGATTGTATTGAGCTGAAAACACAGGAGGAATTTAGGCTCCCCAGGTTGGAATTTGCTCGAGAGGCTCCGGCCGACAACCTTAACTCTAGTGCAAAATGTTTTCTTTTCGGCCATGCAATGGCAAAAGACTAAAAAACTTTAAAAAAAACACCCAATTGCTCATTGCAGGAGATGGAACAACATTGGGTGGGTGTTTTTCAGTAAAAAGCTAGAGCTCAGAATCAAGTGGTGATAAGTTCTGATATTTCCTGATTTAGCAGAGTTATTAGGTTTTTTGCTGGCCATTACTTGGTATGGTTTGGGATGGAAATCTGAAGTACATTGCTGTGTTAGCCACTCAGTAAACAAAACAAGGGATGCAGCTGCTTCATCACTGTACAAATGCAACACTTTGTTTACTGAAGGAATAGCTGTATGTGCATTTTCTTCAACAATAAAAACAAGCCATAACCATGGTGAAAGTTTGCAAGTGTAACTTCTTTGTGTTTGGGTTAGAAATACATGTAATCATATCAAAACAGCTCTTTTATCTGTGTGATTTTCATGCTTCTGGGCATGTTATTGTGGCCTCCTTTTTTGTCCCTTATCAGCTACTTTCAGCTTTTCCTCCTATTTCCCATTAATCCACTTTGTTTTCCAGGGAAAGCATTTGAAATAGCTGCACCTACAATGCTTGTTCCTTCCCTTGCCACCACAGTATTCTTCTCCCTCAAGCCCTTCACTGTTTACAGAGGCATGGTGACACCTCAGACAATTGTAGTTGCCTATATTTTGACACTTATCTTTAAAAATAAACTGTGTTTTTTGATGGTCATTTCTTTGTATTAAGTAGACCCTTGTTTTAATGACAGGCCAATTTCTGTGTTCCTTCTGACCACCATGGCTTTTTTTGGCAGAGCCAAAGAGTGACACATCAGTGGATTTTTATAATGTGGGCAATTGTCCACCAAGAAATTGACTGTCAGTTCACATAAAAGTCAACAACAACAATAACAAAAGCTATGAACAGTAGCTGTGGAAACAATGGTGGTACAACTTGTGGCCAGAATTCCCTCTTGTGAAGAAGCATTCCAAGAGAAAGAGTGGGAGCTTTGATTATTTTAATTGAATCCTTAGGCTTGGAAGAGATGAAGAAACATTTCCTCTTCAGCTCTCTGGGAGCTTTGGTGATACTTTTCAGGTTTTAGATTCTACTTTATGTACAATTTGCAGAAGCACAGCAGTACTGGAGGAATTTTGCATGGGTTAAAAACCAAAACTATTGTTGTTTATATCTGACCTGCTGCCTGGTCCAAAGGTGTGTTCTGGAGTGCTTGAAGCCGTGCTAATCAAAGGTCAGGATGGGCTGAGGCACACAGCTATTTATGGCACCAAATAAAAGAAGGTGTTGGGTCTGCAATGGCCCTGTGTGGTTCCTGAACCAGCAATCTGCACACGGACTTCTGGCTGGGGAATTCTTCCTCCCCAGACAAGAATCTGGGCCTGCCCCTCTTTGCTCAGGCAAATTGCTCAGCGATGCCCAAAGAGGGCATTGCTGTGGCTCAGCTTGTGCTACACTCCTCTGCCTGGAAAGGTTCACACACCCCAACACTGCAAATAAATGTTACCAGTTTGTCTTTGTGCAGCAGCTGTGGAAACAAAAGAATACAAGCGAGATAAATTGCTGATTAAAGAATACCCATGAGATGAAGACAGAAGTCAGTAGGAATTCACAAACCTGACAAAGTGCTCCAAATTCTGTGACAGAATTCTGGTTAATTCCCCGCTGTACACAACTGTTGGTATGATTAGAAATTGTTGATATGATTAGAAATGCTTTTATGACATCTTTAATTCAGTGTGAAAATGAGGGGAAGGGAAGCATTTCCCTGAAGGCTTCCCTGCTCCAGCACTGCAGCTAGCCCATCAAACAAAAAGTGAAACCAGTTGTGAACTAGCTGAAAATGAAAACCAAAACATTCTGGTGAGGGAATTACTCAGAATTTAGAAAATCTCTGTGTTAATGGGTGTGTTTATCCCCACCTCTTAAACTCTGGTCGATGCTGCACTGCTCCATGAAAAATGAAATTTACAGTGCTGCTGATCAGACTAAAGCTGTGGAGTTTTGCAGTGGGGTAGCAAAAGGAGGAATGACAGATGGGAGAAAGCAGAATTTTTCCACAGACCCACAAAAGATCTTTTTTTTCCTGCTTCAGCCCCTTGGATGCTGCATCACACACTGTCCACAACACTCAGAAAACAACAGGTTGTGTGACAGTACTTTATATATAAATTAACATTCAAAATTAGGGAAAAAATCCCATGATAATGATGTATCAAAAAGTTGTAAAAATTCTCCTAGAGTGATGCTCTATCTCTTTTCCGTTGCAAATAAAGGTCAAGTATAAACATTTCATTTTAGTTTCTCCTGAGGTGACTGCTTTAATTACAGTCCTCACATCAGTGTCAGACTTCTCTTCATAGTGGTCACTCACTTTCCATCTTTCAACTTCTGTTTTCTGATTGTAAGAGATATTAACAGTAATGTTGGAATGGGCATCGTGTCACTCTTGAAAGACTCATAGTAGCAGTTAAATCCAGTTTGTGCTCCATACTTACAGGTACAAAAGAATGGTTGCTTAGGAAGAAATAATAGAAATTTTTAAAGAAAAAGGTTCTGTAGATTTTTATAAGAAAAAGATTCAGTTGGTCTCTCACGTTGAGGAAAGGATGTTACCTGATGAGGAACACTTCTTGTGATAAGAGAGGCATGGTGTGGCATTTTCATGTTATTCATTTAGTTGTGCACTTCTGGGTTAAATGAACAGCATGAGCAGAAATTCTCAGTGTGCCTACCAAATGCTCAGAAGATGTTGCAGAGACCATTTGTCAAAAAGTCTGTTTATAGGCCTAAAAGAGTATCTCGCCTATCTTTTGGAGAGGGGGCAATTCAAAATATTTTCCCTGTCTAGTTCATTCCTCGCTGAACTGTCCTCAGATAAACCATGTGGTGTCCATGTGAAAAGCATCTGTCTTGTAGGACTTGGACAAAGTTCAAAAAATTGATTTGACAGCCATATGGTCCTCTTCACCCACATGAACCTTGAAGAAGTTTGACTTCCTTCCAGCCTTAAGAGTAGAGTGAGGGAAGAAGGGAAACTGTTCTCAAAACTTGTCAGTGTTGTTCCTAAATGCGCTAGATGAGGACATTGTTTGAAAAAACAGCAAGAAATTCTGTGGATTTGTGAAGTACTGCAATTCCCTCAGCTTTTCTGCATGCCTTTGCACAGAGTGTTTGTCATGGCACTGGTGGGGCTTTGAGGGAGCCTGTTGTTCCCAAGCCCCATCCACCACACATCATGGCCAATTTCTCCTCAGCAGGGTTTGTAAACACCAGCGTTGCTATGGGTGCAGCTTCTTTTCCAAAGGCTGAGCATCCTACAGCCTTCCAGCCCTGATCTCCCTTCAACCCCAAATTAAATCCCTCATGTGCTGGAGTGCCTGGTTTATGTTGGATACTCTGGGCTAGGCAGGAGCTTAATTAGCTAATAGTAAGCAGGAGGAATAATAACTGAGCTGTACTTCCCTTTCCCACAGTGGGCATTCCTTTGGCATTTCTTCTTCCTCTTCCTAAATTTTTGTAGGAATTAATATCTCTTTGAAAGCCCTTTTTCCTCATTCAGGGTTTACTGAAATCGGCTGAAAGAGTCAAGGGGAACCAACAGGCAGAGGCAGAGCCAGAGCCAGACAATGGGATCATGTGAAACCAGTGTCATTAAGAAACCATGAGAAGTTTCAAAACTTCAAAATAGGGTAGTCTGAAGGGAGAAGGGTTGCCACTACACATTTGGAATGGAAAAAAGAAAAAAGAAACCAGAAAATTCTGATCAGTGTGATCAGAAACAATAGGAAAAAATTATTTAAGAGTAAACCACAGATTTTGAAACAAACAAGCAAGCATGATTTGAACAGAACAAAGATATATTTCAGATCTTGTATCAATTGCTTTATCTGAGCTTTATAAAAATATCTTCTGAGAAAGGCTTAAATCTAAAAATATTTACAGGAAGAAAGTTTGCAATTTTGTAAAGCTAGTTTTTTTCCTTTTATGTGACTAAAGATTTTCTTTCTTCAGT